CGAGAGCGATTCACCTGAGAGAGCGATGAGCCGTCGGCCACTGTTCCGTCGTCCCTCGTTGTCCTCAGCTCCATTGGTCCTGGTGGCTGGCAAGGGAAGCCAAAGGGCACAAAGTTAGGGATACCTAACGCGATACCTTCGCATCTGCTCCGCTCGCAAAAATCGCTTCCAATATTCGTCCTAGAGACTTGCACAAACAAAAATACGCCGGGACGCGATAACCGATAATACCCGCGAGAATTCTTTCGCGACGCGATACACGAGAAACATTCACACAAAATCGGTACGGTTTTTCCTGGGACGGGCGCCACCGAGGTTGCCATGTCACAATTCTCCACTTCCCGGGGAGGACTGCACCGGTCGTTAACCATGGGTTCCGCCGTGGTCACCCATCTGTTCACTAAAATTTTTGTTCTCGCGGCGCGTGCTCATGGTATCATTAAGTGCGAGCTTTTTGCGACAACTATTCATTTAACTTGCGTCCCGTCTCACGCGTCGATATTACGAGGGGCACGACGTCCCTCCGCGGTAAGTCGCGAGAACGACCTTTTCGCGTGGAACCGTTTTCTCGAGAGTGAGGTTTGGAGGGGAAGGTCACTAAAATTTAAAGCCTGAATTTTTCGTTACTTCCTTTTATTTCTTAGCCCCTAACAGGCCAAGGTGGTCGACATAAAAATACACACAATAAAAAACGGTAACGCGGCGAGAAAGAAGAAATAAGAGGAAAAAAAATCGGTATGGCGGAACAGCAAGCTTCTCATCCGCCCCTCCGCGGTCCTCTGGCTGCTGCGCTCGGCTCCGTCCAGCTGGCCTTACAGCGCGGGCAGTCGCGGAGTGTGGTCCCCCGCTCCCCGCACCGATAACAGAAGCCACTGTCTCGGTGGCAGTGGCATTCCGAATACCGGTGGCCAGGATGGCCGCAATTTCAGCAGCCTTTCCCCGCCCGGCCACCGGACCACCCCACTCTTCGGGGTTCCCGGGGGTTGTTTCTTGCCCCCGACGTGGAGGGTTCAGGGCTCCCGCGGCTCTGCTCCCGTGTGCGTCGCCTCCCGACCTCTACCTCCATCCGCCGGTGAACCTCCGCCAAGACGTCGTCATAGACGTCCCACCACCCGCTGGTCTGCGTCGTGGTGCTATCGCGGGGGCGGCTGAGGATGTCTGTCTGCGTGATAGCGTCCATTATCGGTGGGAACTCCCTCACCACCGCCCCCCGGGTGGTGGTCGTCTCGGCCCTTGCTCGGTCCATCATGTCCCGGGCTCCCTCCCAGAAGCCCGAGTGGTTCCGGCCGATATTCAAAAAGACGACGCGATAGCGACGTCTGAAGTCAGCCCACCGGCGGTGGAGGTTCGACTCTCGTCCCGCCATCGTCTTCACCTGGCGGTACCTCGGTAATCTCCTGCTGTACAGAGATGGGTTCCACGTAAGGTTTTAATTCCTTTACGTGCACTTTTCCTATCACCTTTCCGTCCAGGCAAGTCAGCTCACACACGACCGCGGATTTCATTTTTGAAATTTTATATGGCCCCTGAAACTTTGGGGCCAGCTTGGCGGCCGTAGTGAGCGGTAGACGATAACATATGCCGTCGTCTCAACACTAAGTCGCCTGTACTGTAAGTTACTGTACAGTAATTAGCGGGGCGTCTCCTTAAATTATAGTGCGCGGATTGCCTCCGGTAAGCGGATTCCAGATTTTCGGCAACCCACGCATGTATCTTCGATAAAGTTTTCATTCGCTCGAACCAACGAGCCGGATCCTGCGACTCGACACTAATCTCATCGGTAGTTTGGTTTTTCAATGTTTGCGACGGTTCGAGTTCGCAGCTGAGATTTAGAAAAGCGGGAGACGTTCCTATCGATGAGTGGTGCGCGGTATTGTACGCGAATCGAAAATCGGTAATATGCGCGTCTCACTCGCAATGATCTCAATCGAGGAATGCCACGATCATTGTTTTTAAAACTCGATTCACCCGCTCGACTGAATTTGTCTGCGGGTGATATGGCGGAACGGTAGTGTGGTATATCCCACGTTCTTTCGCGAATTCTTCTATCGTCTTGTTGACGAACTCGGTACCGTTGTCTGTTAACAGTTAGTGTGAAGCCCGACACCCATAGGATGCCCCGCTTTGCTCCCTCAGCCATGAAAGCTATACGCTACTTACTACTATCCAGGGTTGGGCAATTTGGCGCCGCGAATGGTTTCTTACGTTTTTTACGTATGAAACGTATAATACGTATAGAAACGTATAAAATATATTATATATATCAAAATTCTAAGTCCCGATTTACAATAAATATAGTAAGCTTTAAGCCGTAAGAAATTGACCAATCATAGTCGAGTATTCTTCTCATATTTGACTCAGTCAAATTGACTGTGATCAATTTCTTATGGCTTAAAGCTTACTACACCTATTGTAGATCTGGCCTTATTCCGTCTTATGTCGTTAAAAGCGAAATTCTAACCTAATAAATAATCGAATAAGTTATGTTATATAAATAAAGTGTTTCAAAAATAATATACGAATAATATATGAATGAAATATACGAATAATATACGAAAAAATAATATAAGTAAGTAACTATTACAGCCCATAAATCCAAATAAATTGTTAGATATTGACAATTTCTTTCTATTCTTTTAGATTTTATAATGAGCGCGGATAAAATGAAACAAGCCAAATACGAGTTGAAACGATCTCATCTTAATTCAGATGAATTAATTAATTTAGCTTTGGCAAAATTTTTCTTTGGTTACAACATATTTTTCAATGTTGTTGAGTCCAATTTGTTTAAGGAGTTTATAAAACTCCTAAATCCAGATTACCAAATTCCATCAAGAAAAAAGCTTTCAAATCAATTGCTAGATAAAGTTCACAGTGAAATAACATCTGCAGCT